AGGTAAATTCAACCATTAAATCGTAAAAAAATTGTTTTACCTCTTTTATAAATATACCGAAAAAATCATTTTTGCAAATGGCCGACTGAACTAAGAACGTGATTTTCCCATTTCAAAATACTACATATAGATTGGTTGTCAAGGAAACCATCTGAACTTTTGCAGCGATAGTAACACCTTGATAAGTCTTGTTTGACTGGGGTCAAGTAGTTTGTTTGCCCTCTTCTGTAACTCGGCCCAAACAAATTTTCTGGTTGCGCAAAACTATAACGCTGTTGGAGGAAGAGGCCACACCCGACAACCAAGCCGAGGTTAAGACTGCAGGACTTTGGCAAATATCCGCATGAGGTGACGTTCATCCTGTTTACTGATCAAACTTCATTTTAAATGATCTATTCACAAAAGGTCACTCTTTGGTTGCTGACCTAGTGAAGTATTGCTTAACATTGGTGATCATGGAAGATTAGATTCTAGAGGATTTTGTAGCGTCATTATCACCATCAAGACAATATAAAGTGCGGAGCCAAATGAACAATGACAAATCTTTGAAGCTAAACTTTGTTGGTTTTTCAATGAAAACAAACACATAACCAAAAATAATGGCGATGATTGCGAAAAATCTCAGATTGCGAAAAATCTCAGATTGTAAAATGTAAAGAAAAATTTTTTTATAAAAGAATGTTTCTGATGGGTTTGGTGCGACGATAATTCTAAACATTATTCAATCTCTCAAAATTTTCTGTTGTGATAACTTTCCTTCCTCTTTCTTAGTATGAATCGCGCTTGGCAGACCATGCGAAGTATAACCGCCACTCAGCAGAGATTGAGAGTTTTGGTAGACTCCAAAGAGAGAACATGTGTTTCTGACTTGTGAATAGAGACAGTCCTTGGTAACACCCTGTAGTTTCGTTTCCGATGTCATAGAGAATGCATGAAGTGCGGATGCTGATCAAATGATAATATAAAACTTGAACTTTCATTACTTAAAAAGTTATTCTATCCAGTAATCCACCTATTACTCTCGGCCAATCTGAGGTATGCGTTCCCCCACCCGAAAACCCTAAACTGAACATCGTCCTTATATTCTCCGTTTGTGGTATGTGAGAGACTGCCTCGCAGATTTTTGGGTGGTTGTTTATATAACCACAGTAATTTTTCACTGACATGCAAACCGAATGTAATGTGATGCTACATGCTTCCCCATTTGGTGGTTGGAAGTGACACCTCGGTGCATCTGGCTCTGAGTTCAATGTCAACTTTGGCTTCGTACTACACATGTAACCTAGCCGTCTTTATGTTTTCTTCATTATAAATGATTGGGTAGGTATCTGCTTCGACAGCTATATATAGACAAGGACGCCCAACAGTTATTTGGCGACTCAACACATCCAAAATTCCAAAGTGATTTGATAATGTATAAATCATAAACTAAGTTTAATTAAAACCAGTTCAGGCATTTCAATTATTATGAACTCATCTATACCCATTTCTTTTTATTAATTTTTTGAGATCTAGTCTACTAGTCAATTATTCATGCATTCAACATTTATTTAAAATTGCTGATTATTACGTTTTTTTTCTTTTTTTTTTTAGGTTACCACCGTTACCATGAATTAACCCACTACATACCTGAATCCTGGTAGGTATTTAGCCAACCAATGACATATATACTGTATTTAATAACATATAAACATCCTTATTTTATTTCTTCAGAATTGAATAAAAATATCTTTTAATGTTTACCCAAACGCCGCAGACGACCATAATGTTGTTATATTCAATGTAAATGGATCAAGACTTATATATCATCAAATTCTTCGTTTTAAGTGTCGAGTTTCTTCAGGATGTGGACAATCATGGCTCTCCATAATTCCTATCCTTTGTAGCTTTAAGCAATGTTTGTTACCTTATCTTTCCTTCCAGTTCCTGTTCCGCCATCCATTTTACACGAGCTCGTTATTGACGTCATTCGCTGTTTATCTCTGCCTTCAGTATGCCCAGCGAGTGTCAAATTCTCTAAGTCCTCTTAATTATGTGTTCCAGAAATTTCAATCGTCTCTTTCTGATACGCGAGTTCAATTTCTGAAGCCAGTAAATATTAAATCGAAAGTCTGGTAGAATATTTCAAAAGCTTATTTGTTGTACTTTGCGCAATTTTAGAGTACGTACCGGCAAGGGAACTTAGCTTGTCCATCTCGTAATCTCCTGGTTATTAATCTGTCATTGGAACACCAACGTAGAAGAGGAAAGAGTGATTTTATCTTGATCTCAAATGCTTCTGTTTTATAGCCAGCGGTTGGGTTCTTTGAAATGTTCTAAGCAACACCCATTCTGACTGAGGAGCAATGGAAGAATAAATGAGTGGATACGGGCTTTTGAAAGCAAGTGACAACAAAATCGGACAGAGCGTATTTGGTTGCTGATCTATATTAACGATCACTGTTAGAATTAAGAAAGCCGTTTCTGGTTGGCGTTACACAGACTGTCCTTCGCGTAATTCCAATGGTGTCTACTCGTATTGCCAGCCACACATTGGGATATTTAGATGGACAGAGAATTGGTAAGGTTGAAGAGCTTACTAAAATAGCAAAAGTTTTTCCCAAGTTTCATCTATCTACACTCCCAAACCGAGCAAGTGAACTCCTGGAAAAAAAAAAACAAACAAAAAAACATCTATTTTATAACATTGGAAACAGGGTTGGAGTTCTCATTTCTCGCTTCGACGTTTGTTTTCGCCTATTGTTTCTTTGTGAATATGCAGCAGGCTTTTCCTAGTAGTTGGTGCACAACGTGACGCAAACTTAGGGTAATCATTGGCGAGTCAGTGGAAAGCTGAGTGAAGCGCGCGTTGTATGTTTACTCCACAATTGTAGTCTTTGCCTAAATCAAAGTTGATTTCGTCCAATAAATACCTTTATTATGATTTACATGTTGATCTTAAAGCAATCAAGATATCCTGAAGTAAACTTTTGTTCCAATCAACGAATTCTTACAATTCAAATTTGCCTTTACACGTTTGAAATCAACAATTGCGATTGCGTTGAAGGATGAAGACGCTGTTTATGTATTTATGGCTGTTTTATTTAAATGCAAGCGGGAAGAAGTGTCATTCAGTGCAGCTGTTAGCAGTTCACGTTGAAATACAATTATTTTTTTTCTTTTGAGAAAGCTTCATTCGTTATTTTTCTCTCAGTTTCGCTTAAGCTTTAAAGCTGCATTAATTTTAATTTTCTTCCGTTACAGTTTTTTGCTCTGCATTGGAATTGTGTTCGGGTTTATAATTCGGTAAATATTGTCATTTCGATCATTTTTTTATTTTTTTTATTTTGATTTTTGAAGACTTTTGAAATGTGTAAAAGTTACGTGGGTCACTAGGTTTGAGTTGAGAATAAACGGAGAAATTAAATTCAGCATTTTTAGGAATAAATTTCAATAATAAATTTGACATTATATATATATATATATATATATATATATAATTATTTATTTAAAAATATGATTCCAAATCGCTACATAAGAGGTCTCATGTTTCAAAACAAGAGACGAAAACTTCAATATAATCCTTTAAATTAAATTGAGTTTAAATTAAAATGGGCTCCGTTCCATCTTCAAGCGAAATTTTTGTTGGAATAACGTATATCTGAAATTTACTTGTTTTAAAAATTGAAATCAAAATCTCCATGGTAACAGCAAGGGCGAATTGTTTAAATTGGGTAGGCGAGTGTAGGGTGTTAATAATAAGTAGCGGTATAGAGATACTTTCAAGATGTCAAGTCGGGGAAAGGTGGGGGTGTCTAAAATGAAACGGAAGATGTATTAACCTTCGTCTAGTTTGTTTGTCTATAGAGATTTATTTATTTATTTTATTTTATTTTATTATGAAAGGAATTGTGCATATAAAAAAACAAAACAAAAAAAAAAAAAACTTTCGTAACGTTTGTTTTTTGACGACTTATAAAGGGTTATCTATTATGTAAGGTATTTAAACTACTTATTTGGGCTATGGATTATGAAGGGTGTTATGTTGTATGCATGTTTGTAGTTAATTATTCCTACTATGAATCTGAAGATTGGGCTATTTGTTAAACAAGTTATATATATATATATATATATATATATATATATATATATATATATTATAAATTTATATATATATATATATATATGTATATATTATAAATTTACTAATTTAAAATATGGTTCCATCGCTACACAGGAATTACCACGTTTCAAAAACAGAAACTAAAAACTTCAAATTTAATTATGGAATTAAATTAAAATCCCTAGTATTATTTCATTTTCAAGCGTCTAATGGTGAATTCGAAGGTACGGCAGCTAGGAAACACACTCTGATCGTTCTGATAAAAAAAAGAACTCCCGAATTTGTTAGCGCGGGTCTCAGACTCAACATGGAGGCCTATATGAAGTACCTTGAGAAGGTAGCCCTGCTCTGGGTCAAGAGGGTGTCTGGTGGAAACCCTATATCTGCCAACAGAACTCTGCACCATGCCACACAAGCAGTCATGGCTGTCAGACAATTTCTGTGACCACATCACCCCTTACATCTGGCCACCTAACTCCCCAGACTGCAACCCCCTTGATTATTATCTGTGCGCTGCAATTGAGCGAGAGACCAACAAAACTCCTTGTAACACCAAAGTTGAACTGAAGGCAGCATTCATCAACTTAAACAAGGAGAACGTCCAGAAGAGATGCAGGAGATTCCGAAGTCATTTGGAGGCTGTGGTTGAAGCCAGTGGCGATTTTATTGAATAATTTACTCGTTAGTATTTCAAAATATTTTTTGTGTAGATTTGGTAAACATTTCTGTTAAAATGAGATGTCAACTTTATTTTCGTTTTTGCGTCATTTAGACGACAATTTATCCATCGCACTAAGTATGTGAAAGAATAATCTGGAATATGGCCTTTTTACACTTTTGTTTTCTATATCTTATTTATCTAAATTTTTTTTATAGATATACCAACCTTGATAATCTTATGCCGGATACATTTTCTCCAGAAACCTTTTTTCTTGTCCTTTTGCCACCGTAAGTATATCTGCTTCCTCCCCCATTTTTCTTAACTCTAAATTGCTTCGGAAGCGAAAAATACTGCAGGCAATTTTGCTATCAATTGAAATAAAATCCATACTACTTTTTACAAGTCTTGTAAATTTAATTCAACAAAAACCTGTGTGAAATTTTTATTGATATTTTTGCCTTCGAATATCATGTATTTTACAAGTATTCAAAAGTAACGACCGAAGAAATAATAGGGTATGAAACATTTGTTCAAGGCCGATGTATCTTTTCATGGACTCGACTTCAAGGTAAATCTGTCAATATAACTATGATTAATGAATCTTACTTGTATGGAATCTGTTGGGGTTGACTGAAAGAATTCTTCTCCTTATTTTATATCTGACCCCTAATCATTGATTTAAAAGTCGAAATCAAGTCTATTCTCTAAAATTTCCTCGCGAGTCCCCATCTACTGAAGCCGTGGAAATTGCATGGTGGAGCTTTGAAAATTAGAATTTGTCAATGTTTGATGAAATAGTAGTAGTAGTAATAATAATAATAATAATAATAACTACCCCCTCTCTCACACACACACACACACACACACACACACACACACACACACACACACACACACTCAAATATATTGAAACCAGACGGTTTATAAGAGAATACGTGAATAAAAATCAATGTGTAAAGATTTGAAAAAAAATAGCTCTAAATTGATCTTATAGAAAAAGCCGCCAAAATGAAGGCAGACAGTTTAAATATTCTGTGACAAAGATTTACAAAACGAGACTGGGCTTTGATGTTATCAACCAACCAAATTTAAATTGCAAATGGGTAGTTTGATTGGATAGTGATTCTCGAGGTTTTATCCAATAAAATGTATACTCCTTTTAAGGATTTGGGTTTTGATCCTGTTGGAGTCACTTGTTTACTATACAAGAGGGTAAATTTTGACTGTAAAGTTAGAAAGGAATAGACCACAGCTGGATGAGAAAACTCTGTTCTGTGGCCTGTGATAATGACTACTGGTTCTAAAGCAAAATGAAATGGATCATCTTGAGTGAGAAACCTACTACTACTGCTGAAAGGATTGGCCGTTTCTGTCACGTAAAGGCAGTCATATTGCAGAATATATTTGACCACCCAAGCGAGAAAGGCTGGGATGATAAAAAAAAACTGTTACTATTAATAATACTGTTGCGACTGAGGAAAAAGAAGAAAAAAAAGAAAAGTACAAAGTCTTAAAAACCTACAAAATTCTCTTTAGTAAGAACGTCTTTTCTAAACCTCTGAGTGTTTATCTCATATTTGAGAACGCCTGTTCTGAAAACCTGAATATTTTGTCTAAGGAGCCCAGAGAACTAGCTTCGCTCAAGGTAAGTCAACATTTTTTTCATCCCGTTCAACTTTCAAGCTTTGAGCCTTCAGCATTTTGAATTGTGAACTTTTCGAAGTAAATAAATTTCTTTTGTTGCTAAGAAACTAAGAAATTGATGTAAACTGTTGTTCGAAAAGAAAATAACTAAAATTCTTTTATTGTTAATGAAAAAATGTTTTTTATTGATTGTTGTTTTCTAAGGGAAAATAGATGTGTATTGCGAAAAACAGTTAACCAGCCTTCATAGTTTCAAGAACACAATGGAAATTTTGTTCAAGACCTATATTATAATTTGTACAATTATATATTGTAAAAATATAATTGTCATTGTAATAAATGTATATTTCTTTAAAAATTTCACTTTGTCTTTTTGTTAGCGCCTCTAAAAGTAAAAGGGAAAGGTAAAAAAATTGAAATTCTCCATTAAAATTTTCTTTTACCCTTCTTTCTCCATTTTTTTCTTTTTTTTTCTTTTAATGCAATTATTGCAATTTGTATTTTGTAGAATAATTCTGGGAGCTTCATACAGCTTGAATAATCGGATCTTTTATGACAACCTGGGCGTCGTTTTATTGTTTGCAGTGTTGGTAAGTGATTTGTTATTTGAAATTGTCTTCACTTATAATCTTTTATTGGATCGCTTTCGTTAGTCTTCTGATTGTTTTAGTTTCTGCTTTATACCTAGAAAGAAAAGCTTCCTACTCTGCAAAGGCTTTGAATTCTCTTAAAAATCATTTACCACCAGAATTACATATGTTAATTAATGTGTGCATAACAATGACAGATACTGTCTGTACTCATCCACGCCATAATTCATACTTTATTTGGGAGCCTTTTCCAAAACGACTGTCACTTTATGGACAGCTCAAACAGCGAGATGACACCAGCTAAAGAATAACTGTATAAGATAGTGTTACCTGCTACTACGATTTGTGTATTAAAAGAGAGGAAGAAAGATTAATCTATCCATCTCATAGTTAAGAACATTGGTTTTTCTCACTTTTCTTCCTTTATTTATTTTCCTCTGTTCTAACTACTTCTTGTATGCGTGAGAGCGAACGGCCATAGTGGGTCGCGGTATTTCCCCGTACCAGTTGCAGTAGAGTGGTTTCCTGTCGCCTTCTCCACAGTTTGGAAATCAGTGTTTCCTTGTTTTCGAATGAAGGCTAGAAAGTCCAGTCTACGCTGTTATTAAATGTGGGGGAAAGAAAGGGCGTAGTTCTGCCTTTTCCAAGGGTATTAGTGCGAAAGTGAACACAACAGAATAATCCGGAATTTGAACTCAACTCTCTGAATCCATTTTCGGCGTCGATATCCGTTATACTACATGCACATGATTTTCAATAATCAACATTTGATTGTCAAATAAAAAGGTTGAGTACATCAGAATATTAAGCAAACCCATTCATAATTGTTTCTTGATCAAATATTGATATCCAAGAAGTCTGTTTTTCAGTGTTACTTTCATCTTTAGTAGATAAGTTACGATCCACTCATTGAACTATTTGTATTGAAGAGCAAATTTCTTTTTCCTTTTCTTTAGGGTACAGCAGTTGCTTGCTTCTTAATAGGTAAGAGTATTTATTTGTAAGGTTTTAACCTGTTTATGTCCCGTGCTTGTTTGGTGATAATGGGTTTGGGACAATAGAAAAATCTGATGATTCTATTGAAATCTCTTTGTCTTTTCGTGCCCTACTGTCTTGTGATATTTTGATGCTACCTTTGTTTCCGTTTTTATGACATTGAGCAGAGGAGAAATTTATTTGGTGTTGGGTTACATTTTCAGTTCTATCACAAAAGTATTTTTAAAAACATTAATGCTATAATAATCATACTATTAAAAAGGAGAAACTGTTTTTCTCAATTAACGCCGATCGAAAGGTAGGGTAGCGTGTCATAAAATACACGCTATAAAAAACTAAAAGTGGTTGTTGAAATGTTTAAAAAATCGCAGGTCTAAAATTCCATAAAAGTAGAGAAATAAACAAAGCTAACTAGACGCTGGGTTTGTGGATATTGTTCGGGCATTGTCAGGAATTCTACAATAAAATATTAGCCAAAAAGATGATATTGTAGTGAACAAAACAAGATCTAGATTTCAAAATTCAAATGCTAAGCACTAACTCATTGATTTTGTTAGAAATTTAAAAAAAACTCGAATTTATAAACTTTGCTTAACACACAAGCAAAAGCGAATCCAAAACAAAACTCGTGAAATTTCACACCTTGATGCCAAATGTTTTTCGGCCAATAGAAAACTAAGAAACATTTAAAAACAAAATTCAAATAATCTTCAATTCTCAGAAACAAAATTCTTTTACGGAACTTTTCGCGAGCCAACGCGAAGTTTGTAGAGACCTTAATTGATTTATATGTATATAAATTTGTTGTTTCACCTTACAGTTTGATTTTCTTGTTTTATACTCCTCTGGGCTATCTAACTAACAAGGCCAAATCAAACTAGTCTGTTTCAACACATTCAGAGTGAAAACGTCCATTAGGATTTTTTAAACATATTTTTTATCTGACAAATTCTTCATCTTATCTCTCGTATCTTCTTGCAGCCCCTTTCCTCTACGGACTTTCCCAGACATCAGCATTGATTATCCCATCAACCAATTCATTCAAGCAAATCTTTGTCTTTTCGGCTTTCATCGTGGCTGTTGATCCAGTCGCTGTGAGTATTATCTAACGGCAAAAGAATGTCTTTCAGGCAAAGATGCTTATTAGGGTTCACCCACGTATTCCTAACCCTGCATGTAGAAGTGTCTTTAAGTCTTTGAACCCCATGAAATACAGACATACAGGAGCCTGCTTGATGGCTGAGATAGTTGCGTAATCCCAGATAAAAGTCAGAATTTCTAATGTTGACTAGCGCAACACAATCTTCCTGCTCATTTTGCGGGGAGGTTTTGACTTGAAACTCCAGATATGTTACTAAAGATAAACTGCCGTGAGAACACTTTGTTGAATTATTCAAAAGGTAATTGGGAACTCTCCTTTTGTTTCATAATTGCTAATGTCAGCATAGTTTTGAAGATTTTTGTAATTTTAGAAAATTATATACAGTCTTACATCAGCCTTCCAATACAGGTATTTTATGATTTGAGGACACAAATATTTCAAGGAACCCTCAACATGAATTCTTTGCATTGTACATGAAGTGATTGCATTAATGTATTTGGTTCATTTACTTTTGAAACTCTCACCTTTGATGACATCATTATTTCTCGACCAAATAAAAATTTAGAATATAAATTACAAGAACAATCCTGAAAAGTTTCAAACCATTTAAGCCATTACTTGGAGCTCTCTGGCACTTTAGAATTGGCAAGCAACTTTTCACAGTTCCCAAATAACCTACCTGGGATAGGGTTAATGGGTGGTATTGGGAGCAGTTATTATTTTAAAAAGGTGAACCAACTCTTTGTATGTTATCAATCAAAATTTGAGAACTTGGACGCATTTTTACATTTTTCTAAACTATTACGATTTTATTAATCTTGTTATTGAATAAGCTTTGATCGGTGGGTTCTCCAATCCTCATTAGAAGACCTGTTCTTGCCTTCTCTAAGGTAGGCTACTTTACCAGCATAGAAGACTGGCGCAACACAATTTTCTTGGTTTCTAATTGTAAATA